GGACGGCCTTGCTCAGGGCCACACAGCAGCTTGGCCAGAGTGCAGTAGCCCAACCTGCGCTCCTGCGGGGACTGGGCCCCCATGTGCTCCACAGGGACAAGGACCTGCCCGGTCCCCGAAGCGGGGTGCCCACCCCACGGGGCTGACTGGGGTGCCTGTGGGGTTGGCAGGGGGCGCTTGTCCCCCTGGTCCCCGGCAGTGTGGGTGTCTGGAGAAGGGGTGTCCCCAGGCCCAGGCAGGCATGCCAGGGTGTCCCCAGCGCTGTCTCTTCCTGGAATGCGTAGTACGGTCCCGGGGGTGGGGGGGCTGGAGTCGTGTTGCTGGAAAGGCCGTGAATATGGCTTTCATTGTTCAACCACGACACAACCATGGAGAGTCCACTTCTCCTTGTGCGGCGTTGGCACAGCGCTCCTCTGCACGTGGGTCCTGCCGGTCTGAAGGTTCAAATCTGTGGCCATGAAGTCTGTCATTTCCTCTTTTCAGTTTCATGGAGAATTTTTTAAAGTCTCTCTTGAGAAGGAGTGCAAGTCGCAAGTGTGTGGCTTGAGGCATTTTCCCCAGGTGGCCACATGTGCGTCCCCGGGACGAGGCGCAGCCCCTCCGCTCCCCGAGGGTCCGTGCCTGCAGCTGAGCTGGCCGAGAGAGAGAGAGAGAGAGAGAGAGAGAGAGAGAGAGAGAGAGCGCAGGCAGGAGTGGGGGGAAGGGCAGAGGGAGAAAGAATCCCAAGGAGACTCCCCGCTGAGCGCGGAGCCTGAGGAAGGGATTGATCCATCCCATGACCCTGAGATCGTGAGCTGAGCCAAAATCAAGAGTCGGTGCTTGACCGACTGCGCCCTCCAGTCTTGCCCGTTTTTCTACTGGGTTGTCTGTCTTTTCCTTCTCGTCTGCAAGAATTCTCCGTGCGTTCTGGGGAGGAGGCCTTGGTTCGGCCACCGCGTTGCACGTCTCCGCCCGGTCCGTGGGCTGACGGCTGGCTCCCTCGCGGGGTCTTCTGGGGGGTGGAGGCTCTTCGCCGTGACCTAGACCTCTTTCTCAGCCATACCCCGTGGGCCTAGCGCCTTCCCTGTGCTGCTTAGGATTTGTTTCCCTTCCCCCAAAGTCATTCCTATTTATCCGCTGGAAGCTTTACCGTGAGACCTTCTGCTCGGGTTCTACAGCCCACACGGAATCACCTTTCTGGGGCTGCCATAATGTTGAGATTAACGTTTTTCCCGGGAAAGCCAACGGCCCCACGCGGGCGACGGAAAAGACCGTCCATTTCCCGCAGCTTTGCATCTGTGAGTTTGGTTCTGGGGTCTTTGTTCTGTTCTGTTGGTTTTAATTGGCGTTTTCCTGCCTGGCTAAGGAAGTTGACCGTCTTTTCTCGTGGGCATCGGTACAGCTTCTTTTGTCAAGGGTCTGTTCAGAGCTTTCGCCCATATTTCACTGAGGTGGGGTTGTTTTTGTTTGGTGTTTTTGTATTGATTTGTCAGAGTTTATCTGGATGCAAGTCCTTTGTCAGATCAACACGTTGCCTTTGCATTTCCTTAAGAATGCCTTTCAAGACCGGACGTACTTAATTATGATGAAATATAATTTATCGCATTTTCTTTTGTGAGTCACACCTTTGGTGTTCTAAGAGAACATTGCCTCCCCAGGGTGGCACAGAATGTCCAGTGTTTTCCTCTGGAAGGTTTATAGTTTTAGGTTTTACATTTAGCTCTATGATTCATTTTGAATTCATTTTTATGTGTTATGTAAGAGTCCAGGTGTTTTGTTTTGTTTTGTTTTGTTTTGTTTTGTTTTGTTTTGTTTTCCAAACACACATCCAGTTGTCCCAGCCCCATTGTTGCAAAGACTGTGATTTTCCTATTGAAATAACCTGGCCGCTTTGTCAAAAATCAATCGACCAATTCTGGACTTTCTATTCTGTTTCATTGATCTTTTATATTTATATCAGACTGTGTTGATTCCACTGGGCGTGATTCAAATTGTCTTAAACTTAGTGAAACATTTTATTTATTTCACTTTTTTAAGAGATTTGTTTATTTTTGAGGGAAAGAAATGGAGTGCATGAGGGGGAAGGGGGAGAGAGCCAGAGGGAAGGAGAGACTCTCAAGGAGACTCTCCGTTGAGCACAGAGCTGAGATCGCGACCTGAGCTGAAATGAAAAGTCGGATGCTCAAACCACTGTGCTCCCCGGCCCCCCTTTCCCCCTAAACTTACTGAGACATTTTCAATGACACATAGTCGTTTCAGCACATAGTCTATCTTGGTGAATGTCCCACGTGCGCATAGGAGGGAGGTGTATTTTGTTGTCCGAAGGTGGAGGGGTCTCCTAGCGCCAGTGTGGTCTCACCGGTTCACAGGTGGTTCACCCGTTGTTACGTGTCCTGTTTTGTACCCAGAGGAGGACTAGGATCTCCCGTCCAAATTGTGGATTTAAGTGTCCTGTCAGGGTTGCCAGTTTTCTCTTCTGTGTTTATACCCTCTGTTATTAGGTGTATACAGACATTAAGTTCATTGTTTTTTTTTTTTTTGAAGCATTATTCCCTTTTTTAAAATATTTATTTTTTTTATTTGAGAGCGAGAGAGTGAGTAGTGGGAAGGGGCGGAGGGAGAGGGAGAGAGAAACCGAAGCAGACGGTGCTCAACGCGGAACCTGAGATTGTGACCAAAGCCGAAACCAAGAGTCAGACGCTTAACCGACTGAGCCACCCGGGGCCCCTATACCTTTCATTGTTATGACATGTGAGGATAGTAAGTGCATCGTGTATGTTTTTCTTTCCTTTCACTTTTTAGCTGATCTAAAGCTTCATGTTTATAACCCAGTGCTTGTAAATAGCATATGGATAGGTCTTGCTTTTTTTTTTAATAAATAATATTTTATTTATTTATTCATAAGACAGAGAGAGAGGCAGAGACACAGGCAGAGGGAGAAGCAGGCTCCATGCAGGGAGCCTGACGTGGGTCTCGATCCGGGGACCCCAGGATCACGCCTCGGGCCGAAGGCAGGCACTAAACCACTGAGCCACCCAGGCGTCCCAGGTCTTGCTATTTTAAATCTCCTCTGACAATCTCTACCTTTTGGTTAGAATTATTAAGTCCCTTTATAGTTAATGTGATTGTCCGTGTGGTTGGTTGAAATCCCACCGTCTTGCCAATGGCTTCCTATTTTATCCTTGCTCCGTTCCCCCTTCTTCCTTACTATATTTTGGGATTGACTAAATACATGTATGCATATATAACCACGCAGTAATATATGTTATACATATACCCACACACGCATTGTAGGTATTTATAGATAACGTAGTTTTAGGATTCCATCTCATTTCCACTCCTGGCTTATTAGCGACGCGTCTTCGGTAATGCCTCCTTTGTGGCTCATATGGTGTATTCTGTACCCGTCGCAGTGCACTGGCCTCGTGTATAACATGAGAACCTTAGAACTCACCAGGAACTTCCATTCCCCATCCCCATCCTTCAAGCTACAGTTGTCATTTGCTTCACGTCTACATGTGGTAAATTTCACATTTTGTCGTTTTCATTTTGTGCGATTATGTTTTTCTTTTTTTTTTTTAAAGATTCTTAAATTTTATTTATTCATGACAGACACAGAGAGAGAGACAGAGAGACAGAGAGAGAGGCAGAGACACAGGCAGAGGGAGAAGCAGGCTGCACGCAGGGAACCCGACGTGGGGCTTGATCCCGGGCCTCCAGGATCGCGCCCCGAGCTGAAGGCGGCGCTAAACCGCTGGGCCACCGGGGCTGCCCAGATTATGTTTTTCTTTCACGGCGCAGTGGAGGGATAACTTAGACGCCATAAACCCTCCCCCCAGTTGTGAATGTACAATTCAATCGTTTTTAGTAACTTTATGGAGTTGTACGACCATCACCACGATCCATTCTGGGACGTTTCCGTCGCCCCAGACTCTCGTGAGCCTGTTTACGGTCCACGCCTGTGTCCACGCATAGCCCTAGTAATGTTGACTTCCTTCTGGCAAAGTACAGAAACTTCAATCCAGTGTGTGCGCTGTCCCCCGCCCCCTCCCATGGTGGTCACATATGGACCGCATCTGTATATGCTGCGATTCCAACGAGACGGCCCCGGGATGAGCGCCTCTCCTCTGGGGAGTGGACAGACTGGCCTGTGCACTAACCCCGCCTGCCGGTCTGGGGAGTTGAGGCTGTTGCCGCGCTCACGTGGCTCCTCTGCCCCAGCTCACGTGGCCTGCAAAGCCTAGACTAGTCACTGTCTGGGCTTCTAGAGAAAAGTTGCCCAACCCCTGCTTCCTACAACCTCGTGCCTGGTTTTTTTTGTTTTTTTTTTTTTTAAGATTTTAATTATTTATTCATGAGACACACAGAGAGGCAGAGACACAGGCAGAGGGAGAAGCAGGCTCCCTCCATGGGGGACTCGATCCTGGGACCTGGGATCACGTCCTGGGCCGAAGGCAGATGCTCAACCGCTGAGCCACCCAGGCGTCCCGTCGACTCCAGAATATCCATGTAGCCTGTTACAGTTTCTCTTCCTCGATGACAACCTCCCTTCACTGAGCGGTGGTATTTTCCACCTACAGCAGTTGCCGTGAAGTGTGCGCAGCCCCCCTCCGTGGGCATTCAGAGAGCACCCGGGAGTTCTGTTCCCTGCTATGGATCACAGGCTCTTGGCGTGTCGTGTAACTTTTGGTTGAGTGCTGGACACTGTGGGTGAGATACCGCAGCCGCTGTGGACTCTGGCCGCCCCAGGGCTGTCGTTGTTACCCTGGGTTTGTTAGCGACTTCCTTGGCCTCCATCTGTGAAGTCCACTTTGTGCGGGCTCACTGCCATCTGGCCTCACGTCACAACCTCCCCACCCCTGCATGTGCTCTCAGACCCAGGGTCCAGGATGGGGCAACACGGGCACAAACACAGTGCACGGCCTCGCCCGGGCCCCGTCCCCTGTCCCCCGTCCCCCCGGGGTCCACCATCTGGTCTCCCCACCTGCAAGGCTCCACTGACTCAGCCTCTCTCTTTGCAGTGTCTGGCCGGCAGCTGCAGCCCGAGGAGCCAGATGCAGAAACGGAAGAGGACCAGTCTGTAAGCGAGGTCCCGGGAGCATGCACGCCCTCGCCACTCAGCCCCCAGTCTCTCCTGGGCCCCGGGCAGAGCCCAGGTGGCTGAGGGTTACCTGGTTTTTGTCTCCCATCAGGTGACGGAAGGACCCGTGGACGAGATAATTCGGCCACGCCCACAGGGGTCCTCACCTGTGTATGAATACACCGCTGAGGGTGCCAGCTTTGGACTCCCGGTAAGGCTGCTGGACAGGGACCCCCAGGCTGAGGGACAGGCAGCTGGGGCCATGGGCAGCCGTGCCTCCTTCATCACCCCCCCATTTGTGCAGCCACGCTGCCCTGCCTGCTGCCCACTGGGCCACAGTTACACCCCTCCTGCCATCCTCTCTGACCCCTCCGTCCCCCAGGACCCCTTCGATCAGCGGGCCAAGATGCAGCTGAGGTAGTGCACGCGTGTGGGAGAGAGGCTCGGTGCTCTGGATGTGTGCGAACACGCGTGTCTCTGGAGACGAGGCCCGGGGGCGGGGGGCCGGGCATGGGAGCAGGTGAATTTACTAAAGGACTTGTTCTTGCCGTGTTTCCTTCTTACCCTGCACACAAAACCCCAGTTCCTGTCGGGTTTCCCTGGGCGTGGGTGCGGGGCCCGAGGCCGGGCCCTGCAGGAAGCAGCAGGATGGAGAGTCACCGAGCCCCCTTCCCGTGAGACCAGCGCCCTGTGCATGCAGCACTGCTCTGGGGCCTCCTGGCCTCCCGAGTCCTTCCCTGGGCCGAGCAGGGGGTGACCTCTGGCATCTGTGGCCGCAGGACACACCGAGCAGGCGGGCTTCCTCGGGCTCTGGAGGACGGAGATCCTGGTGGAAGCGAGACTCAGGGGACTCACGGACGTTCTCCAGGATGAGTCGTAGGCAGGTGGGTGAGGCAGTGCCTGAGGGTCAGGGAGCTGGGGTCTCTGCAGGGGCCCCTGGAGCCCAGACCCCCGGCCGGGCAGACCCAGGCACACAGACCTCAGTGTTCTCGGCTCTACAATAGGCAAAGTGCTGCCCGCTTCCTACACAAAGCATGGAAGGTGCTAGATTCTGGGGCCTCCCGGTGAGGAAGGTGCCCTGCCCCGAGGCAGCCTGTGCTGTCATCGGTGGCTCCCTCAGTTCTAAAACTCTGCTGGACCCAAAGCGCCTGGGGTCAGGCTGGTCGCACCGTCTGCTGCGTCAGACTTGCACTCGTGACCCTTGCACTCGTGACCCTCCTGTGTTTGAACACCAGCCTCCTTGCGTGCCGTTGACGCTCAGAGTGCGTGTGAAGAATGAGCAAGGCTTTGGCCGCTGAAGACCCCCCTGTTTGCTCACCGAGCCTGCTGGGCCCGGACTCGGCTCCCTAGTGCTGGCAGGAGGGGTGCCGCTCCCAAGGGACGTGGCCGGCAGCTGGCTCTTCTCCAGCGCGTGGACACAGCAGCCTGGGCCCTGGCTGGGGGCTCCCACTCATGCCCTGTGTCCCCTGGATGATGGGCGGGACTCTGGGGTCCCCGTGCTCATGGGAGGTAGGGCCCCACACCGATGCCCACGATGGCATAGGAAGAAGCTCACGATGGCCCTGACCTGCTTCTGCTCCGGTCCACGCAGGAGGCAACAGAGGTGACGCTACAGACCGAGGTGGAAGCTGGGGCCAGCGGCTACAGCGTCACAGGTGGCGGGGACCAGGGCATTTTTGTTAAGCAAGTGCTGAAGGACTCCTCAGCTGCCAAGCTCTTCAGCCTAAGAGAAGGTGTGCTGACCATCCCCACGCCGGGGTCCCCGACGGGACGGGAGGGACCTGGGGGGAAATGGGCCATACCTATACCTCGGGGTGCCCCCATTGACGCTGCCCAGGCATGTCCAGGCGGCGGCCACCGGCCGTGCAGGGCTTCCTCACCGGGGCCCAGGGGTGGCCTCCTTCCCAACACGGCCCCTGGAGGCCGGGGTGGGCTCCCTGTCAGGGGGCCTGTCTCGCATGCCCCTGGAGTTGCATCTGTCCAGGCCATGGCGGGACCGGGAGCTGACGCCCAGGGCCCCCCCTGTCTTTGTCTAGGCGATCAGCTGCTCAGCGCGACCATATTCTTTGACAACATTAAATATGAAGACGCTCTCAAAATTCTTCAGTACTCAGAGCCCTACAAGGTTCAGTTCCAAATCAAACGGAAACATCCTGCCGCAGAGGACGAGGAAGGGGCCTCGAGCGGGGCTCAGCTTGGCCCGGAGGGCAGCGAGGGGCAGGTGAGGCAGCACGGGCGTGGAGGCTGGGCGCCGTCGGGCCTCCCTGAACCCGGGACTGGGGCTGGGGGGCGCCACCAAACCGTCCTCTGTGCTCTGAGCCCAGGGCTCAGATGTCTTGTTCCAGCAGCACCAACTTCACTGTCCTTGTGTTTCAGGACAAAGATGTCGCCGATGGGTGCAGAGAGACCCCCCCGCAGACCCTGGAGGGGAGCGGAGACCGGGAGAGACTGCTCGCCAAGCCCAGGGAGGGCAGAGGCAGGCGGCCCCAGAAGGAGAGGCTCTCCTGGCCCAAATTCCAATCAATAACGAGCAAGCGCAGGCCAGGCCCGCGGAGGTCACACAGCTCCTCCGAGGCCTATGGGCGGGGAGGTGCCCCGGACGTGTCCCCCACAAGCACAGACACGGAGGCACAGCTGCCAGCAGAGGTGCAGGAGCAGAAGGCAGGCCCCGACGACCAGCGGAGGAGGAGCTTCCTGAACCTGAGATTCAGGGTGCGATCAGGGAAGGCTCCCATGCTGGAGGGGCGACCAGGCATGGCGGGCCAAGGCAGACCACTCGCGGCCAGTGCTGTGGAGGAGGCCGGATCCCACGAGGACAGCCAAAAGGCCAGTGAGCCCACCATGGACAGCAGGAGAGAGGACAGGACGGCAGAGGTGCCAGAGGGGCCATTGGCTCTGCCCAGCCAGGGAGCCCTGGGGGAAGGGCCGAGCGTGGCATCCAGGCCCTGGAGGAAGACAAAGGAGGCGAAGGACCAGGAGGATGCTGTGTCAGAAGGAAGGCCGGGGCCGGGCTCAGCCCCACGACAAGGTGGGGAAGGCTATGCCATAGAAATTGGGATTGCCAGATCAGCTCTGCAGGGCAAAGGGGACACACAGGGCCGTCAACCAGAATTCCAAATCCGAATCCCCACCACCTTAAAAACACCACGGTTTAAATTTGCCAAAGAAACAATACAAGAGACAGAGGATGCCATAGCAGTGCAGGGACAGGTGCACGGGGAGTCAGGGACCCTGGCAGAGAAGGCCCACTTCACAGAGGAGGGGCGGCAGGAACCCGAGGCACCTGCACCCAGGAGACCGTCGGTACACCTGCTGGAACGAGAGGCAGAGGCTGAGGGAGCCGAAGCAGCTCACGGGGAGGGACACCAGAAGGAAGGAGAAAAGGAAAGAGATGGGAAGGAGGACCGGACTACAGCACTCAGGTTCAAAATTCCCACTTTTGGGTGGTCACCCAGAAAGGATGGGAAACCAGCAGGAGAAAAACAAGAGCTGGACCTGGACGAAAAAGGAAGAAGCACCACTACAATGTCCACGCTGCACACTGAGGAAGGAGCAAAACGGAGAGAGGGTGAGGAAAGAAAACCTGACACCCCAGGGAGACACCCAAGAGTGGCGGAGGACCTAACATCCGAGGGCCAAAGGAAGCAGGCCGACCTGTCCCTGGGAGACAAGGGGGTGGCCGCCAGAGACAGCAAGTTCAAAATGCCAAAGTTCAAGATGCCGTCCTTTGGCGCGTCGACGCCGAGCAAGTCCTTGGAGGCGTCCGTGGACGTGTCCGTGCCCAAGATGCAGGCCGAAGTGTCCGTGCCCTCCATAGAGGCCGACGTCAAGACCACGGATGTGACCGTTGAGCTCCCACCTGCCGACCTAGAGCTCACAACCCCCGCGGCGGGCCTGAAGCTCCCTGAGGGCCAAGTGCCCGAGGGGGAGCCCCAGGAGCCCTCGGCCGCAGCCGGACTCAAGGGCCACCTGCCCAAGGTACAGATGCCCAGCCTCAAGATGCCCAAAGTGGACATCAAGGCGCCGCAGGTGGACATCAAGGCGCCCAAACTGGACCTGAAGGGCCCCAAAGCCGAGGTGAGCGCCCCCGACGTGGAAGTGTCCCTGCCCAGCGTGGAGGTGGACACCCAGGTGCCCGGCGCCAAGCTGGAGGCCGACCTGTCCCTGGGAGACAAGGGGGTGGCCGCCAGAGACAGCAAGTTCAAAATGCCAAAGTTCAAGATGCCGTCCTTTGGCGCGTCGACGCCGAGCAAGGATTTGGGAACTTCCGTGGACGTGTCCGTGCCCAAGGTCGGAGTGGAGGCCACCCTGCCCTCCGTGGGAGGGGAGATGCGAGCTCCCGAGGCTGCCGTCCAACTGCCCACTGCCGACGTGGACCTCCCTGGGGGAGAGCTGGAGGTGTCCCTGCCCGAGGGAGAGGTGTCTGTGTCCGGGCTCAAGGGCAAAGCAGAAGGAGTCAAGATCAAGGGACAGCTGCCCAAGGTCCACATGCCCAGCCTCAAGATGCCCAAAGTGGACATCACGGCCCCGCAGGTGGACATCAAGGCGCCCCAGGTGGACATCAAGGCGCCCAAACTGGACCTGAAGGGCCCCAAAGCCGAGGTGAGCGCCCCCGACGTGGAAGTGTCCCTGCCCAGCGTGGAGGTGGACACCCAGGTGCCCGGCGCCAAGCTGGAGGCCGACCTGTCCCTGGGAGACAAGGGGGTGGCCGCCAGAGACAGCAAGTTCAAAATGCCAAAGTTCAAGATGCCGTCCTTTGGCGCGTCGACGCCGAGCAAGTCCTTGGAGGCGTCCGTGGACGTGTCCGTGCCCAAGATGCAGGCCGAAGTGTCCGTGCCCTCCATAGAGGCCGACGTCAAGACCACGGATGTGACCGTTGAGCTCCCACCTGCCGACCTAGAGCTCACAACCCCCGCGGCGGGCCTGAAGCTCCCTGAGGGCCAAGTGCCCGAGGGGGAGCCCCAGGAGCCCTCGGCCGCAGCCGGACTCAAGGGCCACCTGCCCAAGGTACAGATGCCCAGCCTCAAGATGCCCAAAGTGGACATCAAGGCGCCCCAGGTGGACATCAAGGCGCCCAAACTGGACCTGAAGGGCTCCAAAGCCGAGGTGAGCGCCCCCGACGTGGAAGTGTCCCTGCCCAGCGTGGAGGTGGACACCCAGGTGCCCGGCGCCAAGCTGGAGGCCGACCTGTCCCTGGGAGACAAGGGGGTGGCCGCCAGAGACAGCAAGTTCAAAATGCCAAAGTTCAAGATGCCGTCCTTTGGCGCGTCGACGCCGAGCAAGGATTTGGGAACTTCCGTGGACGTGTCCGTGCCCAAGGTCGGAGTGGAGGCCACCCTGCCCTCCGTGGGAGGGGAGATGCGAGCTCCCGAGGCTGCCGTCCAACTGCCCACTGCCGACGTGGACCTCCCTGGGGGAGAGCTGGAGGTGTCCCTGCCCGAGGGAGAGGTGTCTGTGTCCGGGCTCAAGGGCAAAGCAGAAGGAGTCAAGATCAAGGGACAGCTGCCCAAGGTCCACATGCCCAGCCTCAAGATGCCCAAAGTGGACATCACGGCCCCGCAGGTGGACATCAAGGCGCCCCAGGTGGACATCAAGGCGCCCAAACTGGACCTGAAGGGCCCCAAAGCCGAGGTGAGCGCCCCCGACGTGGAAGTGTCCCTGCCCAGCGTGGAGGTGGACACCCAGGTGCCCGGCGCCAAGCTGGAGGCCGACCTGTCCCTGGGAGACAAGGGGGTGGCCGCCAGAGACAGCAAGTTCAAAATGCCAAAGTTCAAGATGCCGTCCTTTGGCGCGTCGACGCCGAGCAAGTCCTTGGAGGCGTCCGTGGACGTGTCCGTGCCCAAGATGCAGGCCGAAGTGTCCGTGCCCTCCATAGAGGCCGACGTCAAGACCACGGATGTGACCGTTGAGCTCCCACCTGCCGACCTAGAGCTCACAACCCCCGCGGCGGGCCTGAAGCTCCCTGAGGGCCAAGTGCCCGAGGGGGAGCCCCAGGAGCCCTCGGCCGCAGCCGGACTCAAGGGCCACCTGCCCAAGGTACAGATGCCCAGCCTCAAGATGCCCAAAGTGGACATCAAGGCGCCCCAGGTGGACATCAAGGCGCCCAAACTGGACCTGAAGGGCTCCAAAGCCGAGGTGAGCGCCCCCGACGTGGAAGTGTCCCTGCCCAGCGTGGAGGTGGACACCCAGGTGCCCGGCGCCAAGCTGGAGGCCGACCTGTCCCTGGGAGACAAGGGGGTGGCCGCCAGAGACAGCAAGTTCAAAATGCCAAAGTTCAAGATGCCGTCCTTTGGCGCGTCGACGCCGAGCAAGGATTTGGGAACTTCCGTGGACGTGTCCGTGCCCAAGGTCGGAGTGGAGGCCACCCTGCCCTCCGTGGGAGGGGAGATGCGAGCTCCCGAGGCTGCCGTCCAACTGCCCACTGCCGACGTGGACCTCCCTGGGGGAGAGCTGGAGGTGTCCCTGCCCGAGGGAGAGGTGTCTGTGTCCGGGCTCAAGGGCAAAGCAGAAGGAGTCAAGATCAAGGGACAGCTGCCCAAGGTCCACATGCCCAGCCTCAAGATGCCCAAAGTGGACATCACGGCCCCGCAGGTGGACATCAAGGCGCCCCAGGTGGACATCAAGGCGCCCAAACTGGACCTGAAGGGCCCCAAAGCCGAGGTGAGCGCCCCCGACGTGGAAGTGTCCCTGCCCAGCGTGGAGGTGGACACCCAGGTGCCCGGCGCCAAGCTGGAGGCCGACCTGTCCCTGGGAGACAAGGGGGTGGCCGCCAGAGACAGCAAGTTCAAAATGCCAAAGTTCAAGATGCCGTCCTTTGGCGCGTCGACGCCGAGCAAGTCCTTGGAGGCGTCCGTGGACGTGTCCGTGCCCAAGATGCAGGCCGAAGTGTCCGTGCCCTCCATAGAGGCCGACGTCAAGACCACGGATGTGACCGTTGAGCTCCCACCTGCCGACCTAGAGCTCACAACCCCCGCGGCGGGCCTGAAGCTCCCTGAGGGCCAAGTGCCCGAGGGGGAGCCCCAGGAGCCCTCGGCCGCAGCCGGACTCAAGGGCCACCTGCCCAAGGTACAGATGCCCAGCCTCAAGATGCCCAAAGTGGACATCAAGGCGCCGCAGGTGGACATCAAGGCGCCCAAACTGGACCTGAAGGGCCCCAAAGCCGAGGTGAGCGCCCCCGACGTGGAAGTGTCCCTGCCCAGCGTGGAGGTGGACACCCAGGTGCCCGGCGCCAAGCTGGAGGCCGACCTGTCCCTGGGAGACAAGGGGGTGGCCGCCAGAGACAGCAAGTTCAAAATGCCAAAGTTCAAGATGCCGTCCTTTGGCGCGTCGACGCCGAGCAAGGATTTGGGAACTTCCGTGGACGTGTCCGTGCCCAAGGTCGGAGTGGAGGCCACCCTGCCCTCCGTGGGAGGGGAGATGCGAGCTCCCGAGGCTGCCGTCCAACTGCCCACTGCCGACGTGGACCTCCCTGGGGGAGAGCTGGAGGTGTCCCTGCCCGAGGGAGAGGTGTCTGTGTCCGGGCTCAAGGGCAAAGCAGAAGGAGTCAAGATCAAGGGAGAGCTGCCCAAGGTCCACATTCCCAGCCTCAAGATGCCCAAAGTGGACATCACGGCCCCGCAGGTGGACATCAAGGCGCCCCAGGTGGACATCAAGGCGCCCAAACTGGACCTGAAAGGCCCCAAAGCCGAGGTGAGCGCCCCCGACGTGGAAGTGTCCCTGCCCAGCGTGGAGGTGGACACCCAGGTGCCCGGCGCCAAGCTGGAGGCCGACCTGTCCCTGGGAGACAAGGGGGTGGCCGCCAGAGACAGCAAGTTCAAAATGCCAAAGTTCAAGATGCCGTCCTTTGGCGCGTCGACGCCGAGCAAGTCCTTGGAGGCGTCCGTGGACGTGTCCGTGCCCAAGATGCAGGCCGAAGTGTCCGTGCCCTCCATAGAGGCCGACGTCAAGACCACGGATGTGACCGTTGAGCTCCCACCTGCCGACCTAGAGCTCACAACCCCCGCGGCGGGCCTGAAGCTCCCTGAGGGCCAAGTGCCCGAGGGGGAGCCCCAGGAGCCCTCGGCCGCAGCCGGACTCAAGGGCCACCTGCCCAAGGTACAGATGCCCAGCCTCAAGATGCCCAAAGTGGACATCAAGGCGCCGCAGGTGGACATCAAGGCGCCCAAACTGGACCTGAAGGGCCCCAAAGCCGAGGTGAGCGCCCCCGACGTGGAAGTGTCCCTGCCCAGCGTGGAGGTGGACACCCAGGTGCCCGGCGCCAAGCTGGAGGCCGACCTGTCCCTGGGAGACAAGGGGGTGGCCGCCAGAGACAGCAAGTTCAAAATGCCAAAGTTCAAGATGCCGTCCTTTGGCGCGTCGACGCCGAGCAAGGATTTGGGAACTTCCGTGGACGTGTCCGTGCCCAAGGTCGGAGTGGAGGCCACCCTGCCCTCCGTGGGAGGGGAGATGCGAGCTCCCGAGGCTGCCGTCCAACTGCCCACTGCCGACGTGGACCTCCCTGGGGGAGAGCTGGAGGTGTCCCTGCCCGAGGGAGAGGTGTCTGTGTCCGGGCTCAAGGGCAAAGCAGAAGGAGTCAAGATCAAGGGACAGCTGCCCAAGGTCCACATGCCCAGCCTCAAGATGCCCAAAGTGGACATCACGGCCCCGCAGGTGGACATCAAGGCGCCCCAGGTGGACATCAAGGCGCCCAAACTGGACCTGAAGGGCCCCAAAGCCGAGGTGAGCGCCCCCGACGTGGAAGTGTCCCTGCCCAGCGTGGAGGTGGACACCCAGGTGCCCGGCGCCAAGCTGGAGGCCGACCTGTCCCTGGGAGACAAGGGGGTGGCCGCCAGAGACAGCAAGTTCAAAATGCCAAAGTTCAAGATGCCGTCCTTTGGCGCGTCGACGCCGAGCAAGTCCTTGGAGGCGTCCGTGGACGTGTCCGTGCCCAAGATGCAGGCCGAAGTGTCCGTGCCCTCCATAGAGGCCGACGTCAAGACCACGGATGTGACCGTTGAGCTCCCACCTGCCGACCTAGAGCTCACAACCCCCGCGGCGGGCCTGAAGCTCCCTGAGGGCCAAGTGCCCGAGGGGGAGCCCCAGGAGCCCTCGGCCGCAGCCGGACTCAAGGGCCACCTGCCCAAGGTACAGATGCCCAGCCTCAAGATGCCCAAAGTGGACATCAAGGCGCCGCAGGTGGACATCAAGGCGCCCAAACTGGACCTGAAGGGCCCCAAAGCCGAGGTGAGCGCCCCCGACGTGGAAGTGTCCCTGCCCAGCGTGGAGGTGGACACCCAGGTGCCCGGCGCCAAGCTGGAGGCCGACCTGTCCCTGGGAGACAAGGGGGTGGCCGCCAGAGACAGCAAGTTCAAAATGCCAAAGTTCAAGATGCCGTCCTTTGGCGCGTCGACGCCGAGCAAGGATTTGGGAACTTCCGTGGACGTGTCCGTGCCCAAGGTCGGAGTGGAGGCCACCCTGCCCTCCGTGGGAGGGGAGATGCGAGCTCCCGAGGCTGCCGTCCAACTGCCCACTGCCGACGTGGACCTCCCTGGGGGAGAGCTGGAGGTGTCCCTGCCCGAGGGAGAGGTGTCTGTGTCCGGGCTCAAGGGCAAAGCAGAAGGAGTCAAGATCAAGGGACAGCTGCCCAAGGTCCACATGCCCAGCCTCAAGATGCCCAAAGTGGACATCACGGCCCCGCAGGTGGACATCAAGGCGCCCCAGGTGGACATCAAGGCGCCCAAACTGGACCTGAAGGGCCCCAAAGCCGAGGTGAGCGCCCCCGACGTGGAAGTGTCCCTGCCCAGCGTGGAGGTGGACACTCAGGTGCCCGGCGCCAAGCCGGAGGCCGACCTGTCCCTGGGAGACAAGGGGGTGGCCGCCAGAGACAGCAAGTTCAAAATGCCAAAGTTCAAGATGCCGTCCTTTGGCGCGTCGACGCCGAGCAAGTCCTTGGAGGCGTCCGTGGACGTGTCCGTGCCCAAGATGCAGGCCGAAGTGTCCGTGCCCTCCATAGAGGCCGACGTCAAGACCACGGATGTGACCGTTGAGCTCCCACCTGCCGACCTAGAGCTCACAACCCCCGCGGCGGGCCTGAAGCTCCCTGAGGGCCAAGTGCCCGAGGGGGAGCCCCAGGAGCCCTCGGCCGCAGCCGGACTCAAGGGCCACCTGCCCAAGGTACAGATGCCCAGCCTCAAGATGCCCAAAGTGGACATCAAGGCGCCCCAGGTGGACATCAAGGCGCCCAAACTGGACCTGAAGGGCCCCAAAGCCGAGGTGAGCGCCCCCGACGTGGAAGTGTCCCTGCCCAGCGTGGAGGTGGACACCCAGGTGCCCGGCGCCAAGCTGGAGGCCGACCTGTCCCTGGGAGACAAGGGGGTGGCCGCCAGAGACAGCAAGTTCAAAATGCCAAAGTTCAAGATGCCGTCCTTTGGCGCGTCGACGCCGAGCAAGTCCTTGGAGGCGTCCGTGGACGTGTCCGTGCCCAAGATGCAGGCCGAAGTGTCCGTGCCCTCCATAGAGGCCGACGTCAAGACCACGGATGTGACCGTTGAGCTCCCACCTGCCGACCTAGAGCTCACAACCCCCGCGGCGGGCCTGAAGCTCCCTGAGGGCCAAGTGCCCGAGGGGGAGCCCCAGGAGCCCTCGGCCGCAGCCGGACTCAAGGGCCACCTGCCCAAGGTACAGATGCCCAGCCTCAAGATGCCCAAAGTGGACATCAAGGCGCCCCAGGTGGACATCAAGGCGCCCAAACTGGACCTGAAGGGCTCCAAAGCCGAGGTGAGCGCCCCCGACGTGGAAGTGTCCCTGCCCAGCGTGGAGGTGGACACCCAGGTGCCCGGCGCCAAGCTGGAGGCCGACCTGTCCCTGGGAGACAAGGGGGTGGCCGCCAGAGACAGCAAGTTCAAAATGCCAAAGTTCAAGATGCCGTCCTTTGGCGCGTCGACGCCGAGCAAGGATTTGGGAACTTCCGTGGACGTGTCCGTGCCCAAGGTCGGAGTGGAGGCCACCCTGCCCTCCGTGGGAGGGGAGATGCGAGCTCCCGAGGCTGCCGTCCAACTGCCCACTGCCGACGTGGACCTCCCTGGGGGAGAGCTGGAGGTGTCCCTGCCCGAGGGAGAGGTGTCTGTGTCCGGGCTCAAGGGCAAAGCAGAAGGAGTCAAGATCAAGGGACAGCTGCCCAAGGTCCACATGCCCAGCCTCAAGATGCCCAAAGTGGACATCACGGCCCCGCAGGTGGACATCAAGGCGCCCCAGGTGGACATCAAGGCGCCCAAACTGGACCTGAAGGGCCCCAAAGCCGAGGTGAGCGCCCCCGACGTGGAAGTGTCCCTGCCCAGCGTGGAGGTGGACACCCAGGTGCCCGGCGCCAAGCTGGAGGCCGACCTGTCCCTGGGAGACAAGGGGGTGGCCGCCAGAGACAGCAAGTTCAAAATGCCAAAGTTCAAGATGCCGTCCTTTGGCGCGTCGACGCCGAGCAAGTCCTTGGAGGCGTCCGTGGACGTGTCCGTGCCCAAGATGCAGGCCGAAGTGTCCGTGCCCTCCATAGAGGCCGACGTCAAGACCACGGATGTGACCGTTGAGCTCCCACCTGCCGACCTAGAGCTCACAACCCCCGCGGCGGGCCTGAAGCTCCCTGAGGGCCAAGTGCCCGAGGGGGAGCCCCAGGAGCCCTCGGCCGCAGCCGGACTCAAGGGCCACCTGCCCAAGGTACAGATGCCCAGCCTCAAGATGCCCAAAGTGGACATCAAGGCGCCCCAGGTGGACATCAAGGCGCCCAAACTGGACCTGAAGGGCCCCAAAGCCGAGGTGAGCGCCCCCGACGTGGAAGTGTCCCTGCCCAGCGTGGAGGTGGACACCCAGGTGCCCGGCGCCAAGCTGGAGGCCGACCTGTCCCTGGGAGACAAGGGGGTGGCCGCCAGAGACAGCAAGTTCAAAATGCCAAAGTTCAAGATGCCGTCCTTTGGCGCGTCGACGCCGAGCAAGGATTTGGGAACTTCCGTGGACGTGTCCGTGCCCAAGGTCGGAGTGGAGGCCACCCTGCCCTCCGTGGGAGGGGAGATGCGAGCTCCCGAGGCTGCCGTCCAACTGCCCACTGCCGACGTGGACCTCCCTGGGGGAGAGCTGGAGGTGTCCCTGCCCGAGGGAGAGGTGTCTGTGTCCGGGCTCAAGGGCAAAGCAGAAGGAGTCAAGATCAAGGGACAGCTGCCCAAGGTCCACATGCCCAGCCTCAAGATGCCCAAAGTGGACATCACGGCCCCGCAGGTGGACATCAAGGCGCCCCAGGTGGACATCAAGGCGCCCAAACTGGACCTGAAGGGCCCCAAAGCCGAGGTGAGCGCCCCCGACGTGGAAGTGTCCCTGCCCAGCGTGGAGGTGGACACCCAGGTGCCCGGCGCCAAGCTGGAGGCCGACCTGTCCCTGGGAGACAAGGGGGTGGCCGCCAGAGACAGCAAGTTCAAAATGCCAAAGTTCAAGATGCCGTCCTTTGGCGCGTCGACGCCGAGCAAGGATTTGGGAACTTCCGTGGACGTGTCCGTGCCCAAGGTCGGAGTGGAGGCCACCCTGCCCTCCGTGGGAGGGGAGATGCGAGCTCCCGAGGCTGCCGTCCAACTGCCCACTGCCGACGTGGACCTCCCTGGGGGAGAGCTGGAGGTGTCCCTGCCCGAGGGAGAGGTGTCTGTGTCCGGGCTCAAGGGCAAAGCAGAAGGAGTCAAGATCAAGGGACAGCTGCCCAAGGTCCACATGCCCAGCCTCAAGATGCCCAAAGTGGACATCACGGCCCCGCAGGTGGACATCAAGGCGCCCCAGGTGGACATCAAGGCGCCCAAACTGGACCTGAAGGGCCCCAAAGCCGAGGTGAGCGCCCCCGACGTGGAAGTGTCCCTGCCCAGCGTGGAGGTGGACACCCAGGTGCCCGGCGCCAAGCTGGAGGCCGACCTGTCCCTGGGAGACAAGGGGGTGGCCGCCAGAGACAGCAAGTTCAAAATGCCAAAGTTCAAGATGCCGTCCTTTGGCGCGTCGACGCCGAGCAAGTCCTTGGAGGCGTCCGTGGACGTGTCCGTGCCCAAGATGCAGGCCGAAGTGTCCGTGCCCTCCATAGAGGCCGACGTCAAGACCACGGATGTGACCGTTGAGCTCCCACCTGCCGACCTAGAGCTCACAACCCCCGCGGCGGGCCTGAAGCTCCCTGAGGGCCAAGTGCCCGAGGGGGAGCCCCAGGAGCCCTCGGCCGCAGCCGGACTCAAGGGCCACCTGCCCAAGGTACAGATGCCCAGCCTCAAGATGCCCAAAGTGGACATCAAGGCGCCCCAGGTGGACATCAAGGCGCCCAAACTGGACCTGAAGGGCCCCAAAGCCGAGGTGAGCGCCCCCGACGTGGAAGTGTCCCTGCCCAGCGTGGAGGTGGACACCCAGGTGCCCGGCGCCAAGCTGGAGGCCGACCTGTCCCTGGGAGACAAGGGGGTGGCCGCCAGAGACAGCAAGTTCAAAATGCCAAAGTTCAAGATGCCGTCCTTTGGCGCGTCGACGCCGAGCAAGGATTTGGGAACTTCCGTGGACGTGTCCGTGCCCAAGGTCGGAGTGGAGGCCACCCTGCCCTCCGTGGGAGGGGAGATGCGAGCTCCCGAGGCTGCCGTCCAACTGCCCACTGCCGACGTGGACCTCCCTGGGGGAGAGCTGGAGGTGTCCCTGCCCGAGGGAGAGGTGTCTGTGTCTGGGCTCAAGGGCAAAGCAGAAGGAGTCAAGATCAAGGGACAGCTGCCCAAGGTCCACATGCCCAGCCTCAAGATGCCCAAAGTGGACATCACGGCCCCGCAGGTGGACATCAAGGCGCCCCAGGTGGACATCAAGGCGCCCAAACTGGACCTGAAGGGCCCCAAAGCCGAGGTGAGCGCCCCCGACGTGGAAGTGTCCCTGCCCAGCGTGGAGGTGGACACCCAGGTGCCCGGCGCCAAGCCGGAGGCCGACCTGTCCCTGGGAGACAAGGGGGTGGCCGCCAGAGACAGCAAGTTCAAAATGCCAAAGTTCAAGATGCCGTCCTTTGGCGCGTCGACGCCGAGCAAGTCCTTGGAGGCGTCCGTGGACGTGTCCGTGCCCAAGATGCAGGCCGAAGTGTCCGTGCCCTCCATAGAGGCCGACGTCAAGACCACGGATGTGACCGTTGAGCTCCCACCTGCCGACCTAGAGCTCACAACCCCCGCGGCGGGCCTGAAGCTCCCTGAGGGCCAAGTGCCCGAGGGGGAGCCCCAGGAGCCCTCGGCCGCAGCCGGACTCAAGGGCCACCTGCCCAAGGTACAGATGCCCAGCCTCAAGATGCCCAAAGTGGACATCAAGGCGCCCCAGGTGGACATCAAGGCGCCCAAACTGGACCTGAAGGGCCCCAAAGCCGAGGTGAGCGCCCCCGACGTGGAAGTGTCCCTGCCCAGCGTGGAGGTGGACACCCAGGTGCCCGGCGCCAAGCTGGAGGCCGACCTGTCCCTGGGAGACAAGGGGGTGGCCGCCAGAGACAGCAAGTTCAAAATGCCAAAGTTCAAGATGCCGTCCTTTGGCGCGTCGACGCCGAGCAAGGATTTGGGAACTTCCGTGGACGTGTCCGTGCCCAAGGTCGGAGTGGAGGCCACCCTGCCCTCCGTGGGAGGGGAGATGCGAGCTCCCGAGGCTGCCGTCCAACTGCCCACTGCCGACGTGGACCTCCCTGGGGGAGAGCTGGAGGTGTCCCTGCCCGAGGGAGAGGTGTCTGTGTCCGGGCTCAAGGGCAAAGCAGAAGGAGTCAAGATCAAGGGACAGCTGCCCAAGGTCCACATGCCCAGCCTCAAGATGCCCAAAGTGGACATCACGGCCCCGCAGGTGGACATCAAGGCGCCCCAGGTGGACATCAAGGCGCCCAAACTGGACCTGAAGGGCCCCAAAGCCGAGGTGAGCGCCCCCGACGTGGAAGTGTCCCTGCCCAGCGTGGAGGTGGACACCCAGGTGCCCGGCGCCAAGCCGGAGGCCGACCTGTCCCTGGGAGACAAGGGGGTGGCCGCCAGAGACAGCAAGTTCAAAATGCCAAAGTTCAAGATGCCGTCCTTTGGCGCGTCGACGCCGAGCAAGTCCTTGGAGGCGTCCGTGGACGTGTCCGTGCCCAAGATGCAGGCCGAAGTGTCCGTGCCCTCCATAGAGGCCGACGTCAAGACCACGGATGTGACCGTTGAGCTCCCACCTGCCGACCTAGAGCTCACAACCCCCGCGGCGGGCCTGAAGCTCCCTGAGGGCCAAGTGCCCGAGGGGGAGCCCCAGGAGCCCTCGGCCGCAGCCGGACTCAAGGGCCACCTGCCCAAGGTACAGATGCCCAGCCTCAAGATGCCCAAAGTGGACATCAAGGCGCCCCAGGTGGACATCAAGGCGCCCAAACTGGACCTGAAGGGCCCCAAAGCCGAGGTGAGCGCCCCCGACGTGGAAGTGTCCCTGCCCAGCGTGGAGGTGGACACCCAGGTGCCCGGCGCCAAGCTGGAGGCCGACCTGTCCCTGGGAGACAAGGGGGTGGCCGCCAGAGACAGCAAGTTCAAAATGCCAAAGTTCAAGATGCCGTCCTTTGGCGCGTCGACGCCGAGCAAGGATTTGGGAACTTCCGTGGACGTGTCCGTGCCCAAGGTCGGAGTGGAGGCCACCCTGCCCTCCGTGGGAGGGGAGATGCGAGCTCCCGAGGCTGCCGTCCAACTGCCCACTGCCGACGTGGACCTCCCTGGGGGAGAGCTGGAGGTGTCCCTGCCCGAGGGAGAGGTGTCTGTGTCCGGGCTCAAGGGCAAAGCAGAAGGAGTCAAGATCAAGGGACAGCTGCCCAAGGTCCACATGCCCAGCCTCAAGATGCCCAAAGTGGACATCACGGCCCCGCAGGTGGACATCAAGGCGCCCCAGGTGGACATCAAGGCGCCCAAACTGGACCTGAAGGGCCCCAAAGCCGAGGTGAGCGCCCCCGACGTGGAAGTGTCCCTGCCCAGCGTGGAGGTGGACACCCAGGTGCCCGGCGCCAAGCTGGAGGCCGACCTGTCCCTGGGAGACAAGGGGGTGGCCGCCAGAGACAGCAAGTTCAAAATGCCAAAGTTCAAGATGCCGTCCTTTGGCGCGTCGACGCCGAGCAAGTCCTTGGAGGCGTCCGTGGACGTGTCCGTGCCCAAGATGCAGGCCGAAGTGTCCGTGCCCTCCATAGAGGCCGACGTCAAGACCACGGATGTGACCGTTGAGCTCCCACCTGCCGACCTAGAGCTCACAACCCCCGCGGCGGGCCTGAAGCTCCCTGAGGGCCAAGTGCCCGAGGGGGAGCCCCAGGAGCCCTCGGCCGCAGCCGGACTCAAGGGCCACCTGCCCAAGGTACAGATGCCCAGCCTCAAGATGCCCAAAGTGGACATCAAGGCGCCCCAGGTGGACATCAAGGCGCCCAAACTGGACCTGAAGGGCTCCAAAGCCGAGGTGAGCGCCCCCGACGTGGAAGTGTCCCTGCCCAGCGTGGAGGTGGACACCCAGGTGCCCGGCGCCAAGCTGGAGGCCGACCTGTCCCTGGGAGACAAGGGGGTGGCCGCCAGAGACAGCAAGTTCAAAATGCCAAAGTTCAAGATGCCGTCCTTTGGCGCGTCGACGCCGAGCAAGGATTTGGGAACTTCCGTGGACGTGTCCGTGCCCAAGGTCGGAGTGGAGGCCACCCTGCCCTCCGTGGGAGGGGAGATGCGAGCTCCCGAGGCTGCCGTCCAACTGCCCACTGCCGACGTGGACCTCCCTGGGGGAGAGCTGGAGGTGTCCCTGCCCGAGGGAGAGGTGTCTGTGTCCGGGCTCAAGGGCAAAGCAGAAGGAGTCAAGATCAAGGGACAGCTGCCCAAGGTCCACATGCCCAGCCTCAAGATGCCCAAAGTGGACATCACGGCCCCGCAGGTGGACATCAAGGCGCCCCAGGTGGACATCAAGGCGCCCAAACTGGACCTGAAGGGCCCCAAAGCCGAGGTGAGCGCCCCCGACGTGGAAGTGTCCCTGCCCAGCGTGGAGGTGGACACCCAGGTGCCCGGCGCCAAGCTGGAGGCCGACCTGTCCCTGGGAGACAAGGGGGTGGCCGCCAGAGACAGCAAGTTCAAAATGCCAAAGTTCAAGATGCCGTCCTTTGGCGCGTCGACGCCGAGCAAGTCCTTGGAGGCGTCCGTGGACGTGTCCGTGCCCAAGATGCAGGCCGAAGTGTCCGTGCCCTCCATAGAGGCCGACGTCAAGACCACGGATGTGACCGTTGAGCTCCCACCTGCCGACCTAGAGCTCACAACCCCCGCGGCGGGCCTGAAGCTCCCTGAGGGCCAAGTGCCCGAGGGGGAGCCCCAGGAGCCCTCGGCCGCAGCTGGACTCAAGGGCCACCTGCCCAAGGTACAGATGCCCAGCCTCAAGATGCCCAAAGTGGACATCAAGGCGCCCCAGGTGGACATCAAGGCGCCCAAACTGGACCTGAAGGGCCCCAAAGCCGAGGTGAGCGCCCCCGACGTGGAAGTGTCCCTGCCCAGCGTGGAGGTGGACACCCAGGTGCCCGGCGCCAAGCTGGAGGCCGACCTGTCCCTGGGAGACAAGGGGGTGGCCGCCAGAGACAGCAAGTTCAAAATGCCAAAGTTCAAGATGCCGTCCTTTGGCGCGTCGACGCCGAGCAAGGATTTGGGAACTTCCGTGGACGTGTCCGTGCCCAAGGTCGGATTGGAGGCCACCCTGCCCTCCGTGGGAGGGGAGATGCGAGCTCCCGAGGCTGCCGTCCAACTGCCCACTGCCGACGTGGACCTCCCTGGGGGAGAGCTGGAGGTGTCCCTGCCCGAGGGAGAGGTGTCTGTGTCCGGGCTCAAGGGCAAAGCAGAAGGAGTCAAGATCAAGGGACAGCTGCCCAAGGTCCACATGCCCAGCCTCAAGATGCCCAAAGTGGACATCACGGCCCCGCAGGTGGACATCAAGGCGCCCCAGGTGGACATCAAGGCGCCCAAACTGGACCTGAAGGGCCCCAAAGCCGAGGTGAGCGCCCCCGACGTGGAAGTGTCCCTGCCCAGCGTGGAGGTGGACACCCAGGTGCCCGGCGCCAAGCTGGAGGCCGACCTGTCCCTGGGAGACAAGGGGGTGGCCGCCAGAGACAGCAAGTTCAAAATGCCAAAGTTCAAGATGCCGTCCTTTGGCGCGTCGACGCCGAGCAAGTCCTTGGAGGCGTCCGTGGACGTGTCCGTGCCCAAGATGCAGGCCGAAGTGTCCGTGCCCTCCATAGAGGCCGACGTCAAGACCACGGATGTGACCGTTGAGCTCCCACCTGCCGACCTAGAGCTCACAACCCCCGCGGCGGGCCTGAAGCTCCCTGAGGGCCAAGTGCCCGAGGGGGAGCCCCAGGAGCCCTCGGCCGCAGCCGGACTCAAGGGCCACCTGCCCAAGGTACAGATGCCCAGCCTCAAGATGCCCAAAGTGGACATCAAGGCGCCCCAGGTGGACATCAAGGCGCCCAAACTGGACCTGAAGGGCCCCAAAGCCGAGGTGAGCGCCCCCGACGTGGAAGTGTCCCTGCCCAGCGTGGAGGTGGACACCCAGGTGCCCGGCGTCAAGCTGGAGGCCGACCTGTCCCTGGGAGACAAGGGAATCTCCTTCAGTCATCGTGATCAGTCCCGTTTCCACGTGGAAAGTGATATTTCTTCGTCAGTTGGGAAAAGTGAGGAAAAAAGTAAAAGCAAAAAATTGCTTTTTAAAATGCCCAAAGTCTTCTCTCCAACTGGTAAAACAGCTAAAAGCTCCATAACCTCTTCCCGGGTATCTGAGGTCGAGACCTCGAGCCCTGATCCCTGTGATGGCGTCACTCTTACAAAGTTCCAGGTCACTGTCCCCAGAGGCCCCATCTCCCCCGAGCTGCCTTGTGAAACCCCGTCTGTGTCCCAAGCGGCATCTGAGCCTCCCAGCGCGGCCGGTGATGTTGACCTCACCTCCAGTGAGAGCCTTCTCCTGTCCCAGTCTGAAGGTCCCACAGCCCCAGTGGACACTGCACTTACTGAATCTTTAGGCCGGGTAACTTTCCCGAAGTTTCATCGACCGAAGTTCCGGGTGTCACTCCCCAAATCGGACCCTGGAGGAGTGGAGCCTGGAGGTGCAGAGTTTGCATCCCCCACGTCTCCTCCCTTCCCTGTGCAGGGGCCAGACTCCTCCTCCATGGAAGCCACGGCGTTCCCAATGCCAGGCAGCCAATTGCCACCTGCAGTTTTCTCTGTCGCCACCACGGGCACCTCAGTAGAGCCCCTCGTGGAAGCCCCAGGTGACAGTACAGAGTGCAAGGGGAGAGGCAGTCCCATAAAAGCAGCAAGGCTGAAGCTCCCCTCTTTCAGCTGGTCCCCAAAGAAGGGGGCGGAGTCCAAAGCGGACCCTGGCATCAGCGTGGTTATAGATGCAGGTGCTCTGGGTGACCCGCCTGGGGTTCGTGTTCCACCCACAGAAGCCCATGGGGATGTGGCTCTTGGGAAGGAGGGAGAGGCGGGAGGGGTGAGAACGCATGCCCTGGTCCTGCAGACGGTCGCCCCTCCTGGAGTGAAGGCTTCCACGGGAGGGGCCGGCCCGCTACCGGGAGACCCCGACCAGGCCCACACGGCCAGCGGGGAGGTTGGAATTGGGGGTGCTGGCGGCGCCGCGGGTCCCCCGGAAGGGGCGGATGTGAACCTCCACCTGCCACCGGCCCGTGTTCCCAGTTCTGACCTCAGACCCGGCGATGCCACAGTGGAGGGGAGCCTGTCTACGGGTGACCTTCCTGTTTCCAAACACGGCCTGTCTTTTGGAGGCAGCGCCAAGGAAGCCGGGCTCGGGGACAGCTCAACAAGCCAGCTTTGTGGGGAGGGGACGGCCCCCTCAGCAGAAGACCCACTTCTGCTATCCCCGACGGTGGGGAGCCCGGAGCGGGCTGCGGCCGCGGGAGGGGCGCCGGCGGGGTCCAGGGAGAGCTGGTTTAGGATGCCCTCGCTCCGCCTGCCCGGCTTCAGACGCCCCTCCAAGGAGAGAGCCGGGTCTGCGGGGCCGGGGGCCCAGAGCCCCACATCTGCTGCCAGCGCTCCAGGGGAAGGAGAGGCACCGGCTGCAGTGCAGGGTCAGGACGTCCGTGTGTCCGGGTCAGAGGTGGACGCCCCTAAGTCCCCGCAGCCACTGGAGGCTGGTGCAGACGGGGCAGCTGCTGGCAGCCTGGCTCCCTCCTACTCGGATGTTCTACAGAGGCACCTGGACCTTCACGCCCCTGCGGCAGGGGTATTGGCCTCCGAGGCCAGGGTCCGGCCCGGCGCAGGCTCCCTGCCCCTCCAGGTGCACGGGGCACCCGCAGAGCCCTGCGCCCCTCGGGGAGATGCAGGCCGGCCCCCTGTTCCTGGGCCAACGGGCCAGGGCACGGTCAGGGGGGCGGGGGGTGCCGAGGAGCCGCCTTCCCAGCCGGAGGGCCCCCTCAGACTGAGGGCTTCCAGCACCGATCTGCTGTCCCAGGTCTCCGTGGTCAACGTGGGTCAAGTCTGGGAAGACTCTGTGCTGAGCGTGCAGTTCCCCACCTTAACCGTGCCGAGGTTCAGCTTCCCGGCCCCCGGCTCGGAGGCGGATGTTTTCGTGCCCAGCCTCAGAGAGCTGCCCTGCCCGCAGAGCGGGCCTGACACGGCCCTGCACGAGCAAGGCCCTGGTGTGCCGGCCGCCGGCATCCCGACAGCCGCCGAGGCCCGAGGCCCCTCGGAGGCCGCCCCCATCTGCAAGGTCCGGGTGCACATCCAGGGCGCGGAGGCCGAGAGCCGCCAGGTCACCGTGCACAGCACAGTGACGGCCGTGTACACTGAGCTCTCAGGGCCCGAGGCTTTTCCCACCCAGATCGTGCGGGAGTCAGAGGTTCCCATGTCTGAGACCCAAACACCCTCTTATGGGTTCTCCTTGCTGAAGGGGAGGGTCCCAGAGGCCCCGGCTCGGGCGCGGGTGCACGTGGTGACCGCTGACTCTGGGCCGAGGGGGCGCCTTCCGGAGGCCCCTGAACCAGTGGTCCCGGGAGCTGACCCCGTCTCTGGAGACCTCCAGCCCGACACCGGAGAGCCGTTTGAAATCATCTCCACCAGTGTAGACCTGTCGGGACCCCCAGAGTGCTCATCCGACCTTCACTCTGGCCTCAGCCCCGCTGACAGCTGTTCCGACGAGGAGCCTGCGGAAATTCTGGAATTCCCATCTGAGGAGGGCCAGGAGGCGGCCGCCGGCCTGGGAGGGGAGGGCGGGGCTCCCAGAGCAAGGCCGGAAGGTAAACGGGCCTCGGGTCTGTTCCGATTCTGGCTCCCGAGCGTCGGCTTCTCTTCCTCCGTGGCCGAGGCGAGCCCCGATGCCCTCGCGGAAGCCCCGAGCGCGGCCCCGGTGCAGACCCAGCCCGCGGCGCGGCTGCCACCCTCCCAGGAGAAGGGGGGCTGGTTCCGATTCCCCAAATTGGGGTTCTCCTCCTCCCCTGCCAAGAAAAGCAAAAGTGCAGAAGAAGAGGCGAGTCCGACCGAGCAAACTCCCCAAGACGAGGCGGGTACCTTCTACGACGCCCGAGAAAGCTTCTCTCCCGAAGAGCGGGGCGCCGGGGAGCAGGCCCAGGGGAGCATGGTGGCCTCGGCGGCGAGAACCGAGCTCATCCTGCTGGAGCCCGACGGGGCCGCCCGCCAGCCGTCCGCGCCCAGGCCCGCCAGCAAGTGAGCACCGGCCGGCAGAGTCCTCCGGGGAGGCCCCGCTGCTCGCAGTCCCGACCCCGCGTCCACCCCGCTCCCGGAGTAGACCCCACGCCAACCACCGGACCCCTCCCACGTGGGGCCGGGGGCGGGGGCCGTGCCGGCTGCTGGGGTGCTGTCTCCGTTACCCACGCTTCCAGAGACCCACCCCTGCAGAGCCCCTCGACGGAGGCTTGCTAACGTCCGCGGGTGTAGACGTTGGGTTGCTAAAGTCTGGCGCATCCCAGTGCCCGTGCAGCCCCGCGCGTGGCCCCCAAGCCCCCACCCCCCCGCAGTGTACACGCTGCAGCCAGGCTGCGGGCAGAGCCTCCTCAGCTGTCCCCTGGACGGGCAATAAAGGACAAGATGCCTCCCACCACACCGACTGCGAGGTCTTTTGTTCCGGGTCGGAACACCCCTGCTTGCGCTCCCCCCGAACTCGTCTCTACGGGCTGCCCTAGAAGAGCAGGGCTGCTGCACGGCCCCTGGGACCTCGTGGTGGGCCGGGCGGGTAGTGGGCGCACTGTGGGCAGAGCCGAGAGAGCCTGCCGTGAGCCGGGGCCGGGGCAGGGTGCTGGCAGCGGGTTGGGTGCTGGCAGTGGGCTGGGACGGGGACTTGGAGCCGCCCAGGCACCTGCCCTGCAGAGGCAGGATCGGAATCCGCGTGGAGCCCGGTTCTGGCCCGTCTGCTGGATCAGAAGCCTGTCTCTGCGGCCCTGGCCTCTCTCGACCCCTGGCTTCTGACCAAAGCTTCGGAGCCCACCTGCCCTGTGGGAGCCCCCTATGCTGGCGCTCAGGGCTGGCCAGCGGCCCAAGGGACAGCAGAGTGGGACACCTGGGTCCTGCTGTCCCACACCCTGGGGTGCCCCTCCCTGTCCCCCGTTCTCTCTGCCCCCTGGTGAGCCGACAGGCTGCGGCCGGCCCCTTACACGTCAGCATCCTCGCTGGTGAAGAAGGTCCCCGAGCTCAGCCTGCTTCCCTTCCCAGACCTGCGAGAGGGTCCCGGGACCGTGCCAGTGATGCACGCAGCCCTGCAAGGCGTCCACGGCCTCCCGGGCCCGTCTGTGTGTGAGCGGCACTGGCCCAAGCCAAGGCCCGGGGGCCGCCGTGGCCGCTGCCCGTGTCCCGCGCGGGAGCCCCGTAGGAGCAGATACGCGCAGACCCACCCTGCTCTCCAGGGCTGCCTGTGGGGTTGGCGCTCTGGTCCTGGCCTCACAGCCGCCTTGTCCCGGGCGGGTCAGCCCCAGGCTCGCAGGGCTCCGGGCTCCCGGCCACGCTGCGACGACAGGTGCGGAGGCCACCCAGCAGCCCAGGGGCCATCACACCTCAGCGGCAGCCCGGGAGGCCTGCTCCACAGCAGGAGACCTACCTTGATGAGGCTCAAGAGCCCCCCCACCCCCCCCAGGATGCCTCCACGTGGCTCCTTCTGTGGCCGCGGTGGACAGACCCTAACGTGGCCCTCCTGCCCCTGCCCCCTGGAGCCCACGCCGTGTGATCCCGTCCCCTCGGGAGTGGGCCCAGCCCGTCTTTGCTTGTAAGCAATAGAGTACACAAAGGTGACACGCGTCCTTCCGTGATTATGCCTGTCGCGGCGTCCTCGCTGGCTGATGAAGCAAGCTCCTCGGCCGTGGCAGGTCCTTCAGAGAAGCCCCTGTGCCAGGGCACAGAGGGGGGCCCAGCAGGACAAGCAGCCCTGGGTCACCCGGCCTGCGAGGGCCGAACGGAGCTGGTGGGACAGGTGATGAGACCCCAGCCCCACTCACACCCCCACCGCAGCCTGCGGGGCGCTGAGCACAGGCCCCAGAGAAGCGGGTCCGTAGGGGCCGGGAGGTCGTAACGTGCGCTGTCGTCGGCCGCGATGTGTGGCAACGCCATCACGTGTGGAAAAGTCATGCAGGGAACGGACGCCGCGTGGGAAGACTGTGGCCCCTGCCTCGGGCACCAAGGCCTGGGAGCTCGGGCCTCGACTGGAGCTTTGGAGGAGGAGGAGGAGGCTGACCCCCACCGGGGTTCGCAGGACACCCACAGCCTCGCATGACAAACACCCTGCGGCTTCCTTCCTGTCCTCGTTCATGAACTGCCTGTTGTCCAGGGGATCCCACACCCCCTACATCGGGTGACCCTCCCCTCCAGCCGTGGGCAGGGGGCTCACTGCCCAGCTCTTGCTGCTGCCCCCACAGCTGGGAGCAGCCATTCTCCTCGGGGCGGGTGAGCAGGAGCCCCGGGCCTGGCAGGGGTGGGGCAGGCCGTGCTGGGGTCTGCAGAGCGAGCGCCCCAGCCGCGGAGAGGGGGACGCTGGGTAGCTGGGCGGCGGTGGGACACCCGGGAGCCTCACTCTGCTGCCCCACCTGGGTTTGCTCCCCGGCGCTGCCGCAGGAGGAGGAGGAGGAAGCTCCCCGAGGTGGGCCCCCATCAGGACCCCTGCGCTGCCTCCCCTTTGGGCGCAGTATCCCGTGCCCACAGTGCTGCCCACTACCCACCAGGCCCACCACGAGGTCCCAGGGGCCGTGCAGCAGCCCTGCACACCCTCCCCTCTCCAGGACGTGTCCCCACCGGGCTGGGTCCCTGCCCCTGCCCCTGCCCCTGTTCCTGCAGGTGGCCACTGGGCACTGTCAGGCAGAGCAGCCGCGCCCGGCAGCCGTATGGACACAGGCCCCGCACACGGTCAGGGGTGCTGAGCTCCAAGCTGGGGCTGGGGGCCCTGCAGCCCACGCGGGACTCACACAGAGAGGCAGGGAGGTGCGTCTGTATTCTGAGGCCCCCCTTTGTGGGTGGGGACGGTGGGTCTGTGGGTCAGGGAGGAGCATCCCGGAGGGCTCTCCGAGGAGGTGGGGTTTAAGAGAGGCTGGTGCGGAGAGCTGAGGGCGAGGAAGCAGTCTCCACCTGCCAGGGGTCGGGAAGTCCTGGCCCCGAGCAGGGCTGGCAGGATGGGCCGCTCGGAGCCCCGACGAGGACAGGTGCGGAGGTGCGGGGGGAAGCAGCGTCCACCGGGAGCCGTGGGGCCGGGGCGCCGCGCGGAGCTGGACCTCAGCCCTGCCAAGCACAGTCCTGGCCCTGGGCTTGCCCGTCCAGGCCCACAGCGTACTGGGAATCCCAGTCCCGTTCAAACAGGCGGCGCAGCTGCTCCTGCACGGTGCGCACCCCTGGCCGGGCGCCGGGCGGCCTCTGGCTGACCACCAGGCTCACCCCCGAGGTGCTGCTGAAGTAATCTTCTGACCAGTTGGAGGTGCCTGGGGGCGGAGATGGGAGGGAGTCCCTGGATGACTGGGCTCACGCGGCCCCTCGGCAGGGCAGCTGTGCGGCCCCGTTGTGCTCTGGGGACAGAGGGGGCCCAGCGGCCGCTCGGCGCTTGGACGCTGCGGCCGGGGCAGCTGCTTGGTCGCAGGGGGGCGATGAGCTCGCCACGCGTGGGGCTCCATCCGCGCCATCCTGGGACGGAGGGCCTGAAAACCCAGTGCTCAGGCCTTGCCGCCCTCCCCGTGGGCCCGGGTAGGGGCTGCGCTGCTGGCCTGGCCCCTAGAGCCCCGCTGGAGATCCCAATCCCCCTCGGCTGCCCTGGGCCGTGAGGGGTCCCTGCGGCCTGTGAGGGCAGCGTCCCCTTCCGCACCCCGGCCTGGCCTCCACTCGGGGCTCACGTCCCGGCCCTGTGGGTTTATGAGGCCTCTGGGGTTGTGCACACTTGCTGGGCCCCCTCCAAGACTCCAGGTCCTGGGGCCGCAGGCCTGAGCCCGCCGCCCGCGGCTGCTCACCTACGTAGGCCGCCTTCTCTGTGACCACGAACTTGCTGTGGTTCACTCTGCTGAACGGGATGTTGGTGTGATTCCTCACGGGCACGATGAAGACTTTCTTGGGGGAACAGAGAGGGGGGAGCGTGTGGGAAAGCGGGGAGCGCCCTCCCCGAGCCGGCCCTGGGAGCGGGTCCTCACCACATCCACCGAGACGCCGGCCGCGGGGTTGCTGAAGGCCTGCAGGGACCGCAGGCTGGGGAACATGCTGGGGTCCGTGTGGGGCCAGCAGCTGACCAGCAGGCGCACGCGCACACCCCTGTTGAAGGCCGCCGCCCGCAGCGCCGTGTCCAGCACCGGCCAGTACCTGCGGGACGGAGGCTCAGGGTCCCCGGGCCCGCAGCCGCGGGGGGCGGGGTCTCGGCGGGACAGGGGACGGGCCGGGGCCCCCCAGCAGCAAGGCGGGCCGTCCCCGGGGCCGCCGGGCTCCCCCCGCCCCACACGCACCTGGCGGGGTGGACGAAGCGCGTGGTGGGGAAGTACTCCATCACCGAGGCGTAGATGAAGTCCTGGGCGCCCCCCATCACTGCCAGCAGCGCTTCCAGGTCCCTGGTGCGGCCGTGCGGGCACAGCACCGGCGGCGACGCCTGTTCACGGGCAGCGGTCACTGAGGGCCCCGAGCGCCCCCTGACTGCGGCCCTACGGGGCACCCACCCTCCAGTGTTTGGGAGCCGGGGGAAGGCAAGAGACACCACCTGGAGAGGAGGGCAGGGGGGAGGGGGCTTAAACTGGTCCCCCCCCCGCTCCCCACCCCCACTCCTGGTTGGTCGGACTTCCCGGACGAGGGGGCTCAGCGGGGCCCGGTGGAGGAGCGCCCCCCGCGGTGCGGGGCCCAGACCAGCCAGCGGGGCAGCTGGAGGGCCGTCTGCTGCCGGCGCCCGGCGGAGGCGCTTGGCCCTTCCTTCCCCGCGGAGGGACAGAGCCACTCGATGAGCCGGTCCTCCCCGACTTCCTGGCCCCCAGCTGAAGCCACCTCGGCCCCACCGGGCAGCGCATTTGGAGACTCCCCGCCCTGGGCCGCAGGATGCCCTGCCAGCCCCGTCCCCCGGATGGCCATGGCCGCGTCCTCCCCTGGAGCTGGGCCTGCCCACGCCAGCCTGCCGCTCGCCAGGGGACCACGGCCCCATCCTGGGCGCTGGCTCCCCAGCTGCTGCCCGGAGGCCCCGGCAGGCACTACGGCAGGACAGGGTTCCCCGAGGGCCCGTGCAGCCGGGAGAGCAGGGGCATGACGGCCCCTCAGCCCCTCTTACGGAGAGGTAGGCCGCGGTGGGCACCCCGTCGAAGCGGCCCCGGAGGGGCTGGAAGCGGTTGATGTGGGACCAGAAGTTGTGAGGCCAGGCTTTGGGGAGGACAGCCTTTGGCGCCCCCAGCACCCAGTAGGTCTGGAAGGTCTTCTCCAGGTCGAGGGCCAGGTGGCTGCAGTTGTAGATGATGGCGCCGAGCTCCTTCACCTGCAGGGACGGGGCAGCGGCTGTGTGAGCCCCCCCGCCCCCCAGGCAGAGCGCAGCCCCCCACCCACACCCACACCGGCCCGGCACCGTGTCTCCGCAGGAGTCACAGCAGACAGGGTGCTCGGCGGAGCTGGGAGGTGGGGGCCCGGGGTGCCCCGCCGGCCTTCAACATTGTCTTCCAATGAACACAGAGACACGTGTTTGTGAAAAGATAGAAAATGCATAAAAGCCCCAGAAAGCCAGAAAATTCCATCTTTGCGTCCCTGTCTGGCTGCCTTTCCCGCCACGGTCCTTGAGCTGGTTTTTATCGCGTTGCTTCTCCTAAAGGGATGGGGCTGTGCAGTCGGCAGGTTTCCCCGGATAAAGACACTGGGACGTCCGTCTACAGGGTTGACGTGACATTCCACGGGGCGGGCGTGACAGCCGTGCGTGACTCCGTAACCAGTGCCACCGGGGTGAAGGCCCCAAAGCTGCACGGGACGCCAGGCCCAGCCCCTGGGAGTGCGGGCGGGGACGGGGCCAGGTGCACCTCCCTTCCCGGGGCTCGGCACTCACCTGCGTCAGGGACCGCCAGTCCATGTTGGCACTGCCCAGGTAGATGTGCCGCCCGTCCACGACCCAGAATTTGGAGTGCAGAACACCGCCGGTGAGCTTCTCCATGGGCACGTAGCGCACCTGCGCACCTGGCGAGAGTTCAGGACCCCATGGCCCACTGGCTCGTGTCACGGTCGCCTTCACGGGCCGAGCCTGATCTCGGGCTGACGACCCTCACGGCAGTGCTGCTGGGTTCATGCCATCATCGTCCCCACTTGACAGGCGGGGAAACGCAGGCCCTGACGCCCCGACTGGCCCCAGATCCCCCCGGGCAGCCCGGCTCCGGAGCCCGGGTCCGCAAGGACTGCTCCCCGGCTGAGCTCCCAGCCTGAGCCCACCCGCAGGTCTAAGCAGCGGGGCTCAGGGGGGCCCCAAGGCCACGCCAGGTTCTGCCCCGTGGAATACGGCCCTCGGGCTCCCTGGAACCAGCCCCGGCCCCGGGGGAAGCTGACCCGAGCATGCCGCCCTGGGTCCCCTCCATCCCGGGGAACTAGGGAAGCGGGGGGAGCCTTTCCCCACCTCCCCCCAGGCCGCCCTGCTCTGCTCATCCCTGTCCCTGTCCCTGTCCCTGTCCGGAGGCACATGCTTACCCCCGGGGCCGAGGCGTCCAGGACAGCCGGGCACCTACCTCGGGCCGCCAGGACCTGCAGGTCCGTGGACTTCTTGGCCAGCGACCGGCTGCTGGTAGCCACCACCAGGGAGATGTTCTTGTCCAGCAGCTGCTCCAGCTTCCGCAGAAGGGCCTCCCCCTGTGAGGCCAGGCCAGCCGTGAGGGGTGACTCCCTGCCCACTAGGAAGAGCCCAGACCTCTCCCGGGAGGCCACCCTGCCCCCCCCCACGCAGAGGCAGGGAGCTGTGCCCTGGCACCCGGCTGGGCGGGACGGCCTGCAGCCTCCGAGCAGGGTGGGGAGGCCCGGGCATACCTGCTGGGAAGACGAGTCGTTGACCCCGATGTCAGCCCCCGTGAGGGACCAGTAGAAGGAGGCCACGTGGATGCTCTCCTGGGCGGCGTCCAGCAGCTGCAGCCAGGCCTGGGCCAGGGGCTGGGCAGACGGGCTGCCGGCTGCAGAGGGCAGGTCCTGGGGGATGCTCTCCACGAGGACAAGCCTGCAGAAGGGGCACATGGGGCCTGAGCGGAGCCCAGGTGCCACCAACCTGCCTCGCATCACCCGTTCCTTCCCCACTGGCCAAACCGGGGGGCTCACTGCCAACATGGGGCCCGAGCCCAGGCCGAGGGTGCATGGAGGGGGTGCCAAATAGACTGGACAGGGCAGGCCTGAGCCCAGCAAGCCGGCGGGGGGGTGGCAACAGCCAGGAAGGAGCAGGGCGGGTTAGGGCCAATCCCAGGCACCGCCTTGGAGAGCCTGGGAGCCTGGGGAGCTGTGGCTCTGAGCGGAGATTTACTGGGGGGCAGGCCCTTGGAGGCGGCCCAAGCTGAGCCCGAGGAAGGGCTGGACCAGCAGCTGCATCTTCCAGGAGGCGACAGAGGCCCGTGTCCTCCCACGGGGCGACAGCGGGAAGCACCCAGAGGCACACGGGCTCACTCACCGGCAGGAGTCCTGTGGCGGCTTCAGGGCCTCCCCTCTCGGGGGCTCCCAGGCCCGGCTGGCCCCGTGGCCCCTGGACCTGCTGGGCCCTTCCTCGGGGCACACCTGGCCGCAGGTGGGAGGAAGGTGCACCTGCCACAGGACGTAGGCAAGAGCCATGGCGCCGAGCCACAGCGAGGCCAGCATTGCCAGCACCTGCAACTGGAGAAGGCGTCACCACGGGGCCCCTGGATGCCGCGGGTGCGCCCTACTTCAGGGTGGGCTGACGCGGCCCCTCCAGTGCTGACAGAGACTGTCCCCGGCTCCCCAAGGGGACCAGGCCCGCAGTGGGGCGAGGGCAGGGTGGACTGAGCAGGGCCCAAGCTGCCCATGTCGGGGGGCTCGGGTGGCCTGGGGCCGTCCCTCGGCTCCCCCTGAGCAGGGACATGGGCAGGCGAGGGCAGCCCACTGGTCTGGCTGCTGTCGTCATGGCCACTCTGCCCACCTGCCCCCGGGTCCCCCGCGCCGGCCTCTCTGTCCTGCGGGCTGTGGGGCGTGTGGAGCGGCCAGGCAGGGGCCCCGGCACTCTCTGTGGAGGCCTCAGCACCTGACAGGGCCACCGGGCGTCACCCGCAGCCCAGCCCCGCCTGGGCCGGGACCCCACAGAGCCTGCTGCTGAGGTGGTGCCTGGGCTGTGAGGCCAGTGCCAGGCTTCCCTCTGTTGCCTCTCCTGGGCACCCCGGCCTGCGGGTGGGGCCCTCTGCCCGGAGCCTGAGGCTGGTATACGGGTGTGTATGCGTGTGTGCGTGTGTGCAGGTGTGTGCATGTGTACGTGTGTGTGTGCATGTGTGTGCATGTGCGCACACATGTGCATGCATGACCCCACCTGTGCCTTGTGTGTGCATGTGTGTGTGTGCATGTGCACGTGTGTGTGCACGCAGGCAGGTGTGTGCATGCACATGTGTGCATGTGTAGGCATGTACGTGCATGTGTGTATGTATGACCCCACCTGTGCCTTGTGTGTGCGTGTATGTGTGTGCATGGGTGCACATGTGCGTGCACGCGTGTGTACGTGTGTCCCCATCTGTGCCTGTGACCCACCTGGCCCTCGGGCTGCTCCCCCCTCTCGGTCTCCCTCCCCGGGGGCATCTGCGTGTCTGAATCTCGCTTCCTTCTTTCAGCCACGCGTGTGGCGAGGCCCGGAGCCATTTCTGCTTTCAGCGGATGGGCCTGTAAGTCGCCGCTTCCCTTCCCAGGGCCGGGCCCCAGCCCCGCTCTCTGCAGCCCCTCCTGGGACCCGGGTAGCACCCCACCCTTCCCATGGCTGGGAGGGCGTGGGGCAGCTGATTTGGGGCCCTTCGCTGCTGTCCCGGAGGGTCGGGGGAACTGAGTGAGGACCCCGTGGCACCGTGTGGGGGCTCCCCCCGCACAGCAGGACTCTGTCACCCGCCGGGGCACGTCCCCCCAGGGCAGCTACCCCCAGAAAGACTGTGGAGCCAGGTGGGCTGGGCCGCTGCTGGACCCTCCCCGCCGTGGCCTCTGATGCCACCACGAGCCGGGCGCCCCCGGGTTCAGCACGCCCCCCTATGCAGTGACTGGGTCACCTGGCTAGCCACGCACCGTCCAGATGTCCACAAGCCTGGGCCGTGGTGGGGAGGGGGCCTCGGGGCCCGGGGCCACGCTGCAGGCCTCGTGGGCAGCTAGGCCAGGCACGTGCAGCCAGGCTGTCAGCGCCAGCCCCGTGGGCTCCGTGGTTAGTGTCCAGGCCCTTGGGCTTTGCTCTAGGACTGTCCTCCCTCCCGTGGGACACCCTGGCCTGCCTCGGGGTGGGAGACGGAGGCTGGAGGGGCTGTGTCTGCCCTCAGTCAGAACATTATAGGACGGTGGGGGCCTCAGAAGCCAGAACAAGGACCAGAGCAAGGCCTCAGGGCCTCAAGGTGCTCCTGCACCGGGCAGAGCCAGGCTCGGGGGGCCGCCCAGCCTCACCACCCCCTCCGCGGGTTCATCAGGCCCTCGCTGACCCTCAAGGGAGGCAGTGGGTGTGAAGCGGGGGCACCAGGGCCTCCTGGGACTGGCCGCTCCCCTACTGCAACACAGGGGAAAGGCGCTCGTCCCCCAGACCCAGACGTCCCCCGCAGAGGGCAGGTGAGAGCCCTGCGGCCCCACTGGGATGTGGAGCTGTCCTAGCACCTCCCCGACCACCGAGGCCCGGGCACATCCTCTCCTCTCTCGGCCACTGGGAACAGCACGGGGGCCCGGGAGGCCGGCCGCCCTGGCTGCAGACCCGCTCACTCACTGCAGCACTGGGGAGCCCATGTCCCTGGGCTGGGGGGCCCGCGGTGGGGAGAGGGTGGCCCACTAGGGATCGTGTCTCAGAGCTGTGGCGGGCTGTGGGGTCCCCGGCCATCAGAGGTCATGGCAGGTGTGGCGCTTCCTGCCTGCAGAGCGTGGGGTGCGGCTGTCAGCTCGAGGGGAGGCTCCCGGTGGTCCCTGCTGCGCAGACTAGAGGAGGGACAGTGGTCGGCAGGCCCCGCGGAGGCTCTGCGATCCCCTGGGCCTGGGGTGCTGGCAGCCGGCTTCCCCGGCCTTCGGGCTGGCTCTGCCCCTGCGCTGGGCCCCCTGGACTCACCTCGGGGGGTCGTGCCTTGGCGTCCATCTCACTGCAGCCGCAGACTGCAGCTCCCAGTCGGGCAGGCTGCCTCCGCCCGAGCCCACCTGCCTCCTCTCTGCAGCCTGCTGCTTCCCCTTCTGCCACTTCCTCTTAGCCCCGAGCACCTCCTTCTGCTCCCCCGACACACATCTGGAGCCCGGTGGGCCAGCGGGAGCGTAGGCCTGGGCACGCTCACCTCCAGATTCTCTCCCCCGGCCCCATGGCCCAGGCGGAGGCGTTCTCCAGGGCAGGTCCGGGTGTGGGTTAGGCCCGGTGCCCCCCACACAGACCCAAGGAGGCCGGCTGGAGCGAGATTGCTCATTTCTCTCTCACACTAACCAGGTTTAGGGGCTGGTGGCCTACCGCTGTGGGCTCCACGGCCATGGGGTGCCAGGTCCTCCAGGCTGCTCCTAGGGAATCCCAGCTCCCAATCCCTAGGGTTGGCCTGTAGCCTCGAGGGCCCACAACGGCTGCTGGAGTTCAGCCATCACCTCCGTGTTCCTAGGAGCATAAGGGACGTCCCGGAGGAGACATCCTGGAAGTCCCACGGGGCACTCCCGCTCGGGCATCAGGATTTAACGAATATCTTCCCTACAGGGTCGCAACACCAGTACCAGCCCTGACAGTCAGTGGTGCCTTGATATGGCCAGTCATGGTCTGGTTCCCGTCCTCCCGAGGCGAAGGGCTGCGGGCTCCTTCCTAAGGGCACGAATCCCATGTCAGGGGCTCCACCCTCCCGGCCTGACCTCCTCCCTCCCCGCGGAGTCTCCCTCCCGGCGGAGGCTCCTCTTCCTGCTACCTGGGCCCTGCGAGTGAGGCGGGGGCAGCTCGTCCTGGCAGGGGTGCGGCCGGGGGCGGGGGGGCTGCCCCGACAGCCACGGGTTCCGCTGGATCTCAGCTCCCCCACTAGTGACGCTAAGTCTGCTTGTTAGTACAACGCGCTCGCTGCCTTGCCGGCGCCCAGATCCTTACCGACCTGCTCCTGCTGGTGCCCGCGCGGCCGACGCCTTCCGAAAGAAGGTTCCAGCTCAGCCGAAACGTGGCAAGGGCTATCTTGCTTCTCTTGCTTTTTAATTTTATTATCCACTCCCCCACCCCCCAGCCCCGCCGTTTTATCGCGACCCACCTGCCATGTGCACGTCCGTTTCCGGCTATGACATCACGGTCGATACTTGGAGATGCTGCAAAATGCCCACCACGATGGGTTCAGGTGGCACCTGTCACCTCCGGGTCCGGTGCTGTTCGCCGCAGCGAGGACGGGGAAGACATGCCGTCCTGGCCACCTCCTAGCACACGGCCCTGCGCTGCCAGCCCCCCACCCGGGGATCCCCGGACGCCCGACGTGTGTCCCCGCTCCCCCGCCCCCGTGCCCGCCACGTCCGGCTCTGTCCACGAGCTCGGGTTTTGCAGACTCCCCAACTGGGCGCCTCCCAGGCTTCGTGACTCAGCTCCCTGCACAGTGCACCCTCCAGGTCCAACGGGGGGCGGGATCCCCTCTATCTCATGGTTGAGCGGCGTCCCACAGAGTAACAGTCCTAACGCCACTGCAAACAATGACACTACGAACTGGAATTTAAGATTTCTCTGCAAGGTCTTTCTCACGATTATGTCTGACCAAGGATGTAAACAGCAAGCACCGTGTTCTAAAGTCAGTCTTTAAAAAATAAATAAATAAATAAAGTCAGTCTTTCTTTTTTTTAAAGACTTTATTTATTTATTCAGAGAGAGGCAGAGGCACAGGCAGAGGGAGAAGCAGGCCCCATGCAGGGAGCCCGACGTGGGACTCGATCCCAGATCCCGGTGTCATGCCCCGGGCTGAAGGCAGGCGCTCAACCACTGACCCACCCATGCGTCCTAATCATCCCCAGACCTTAAGGGCATCTGAAAAAAATTACTGGAATGTTGATAATTCCTAGTAGAAATCTCAGGTGCTCCAACGAATAGCAATGACTTGAAGTGAAGTCTTGCCACGCCCACGCCCCTTATAAATCATTTATTAACATTTTGTCTCCCTGGCCCCGGAGTCGCTGGGAGGTCTGTGCTGGTCTGTGGGCGGATGCTTGCCTCCTGCAGGGAGGGCCGCACGCCAGGTGTCTCTTTACCCCCCTGACTAAACCACGTGCCACCGTGCACGACCCTCACTTTCCCTAATAACAGCTCCTGTCTTAAAACCTGCGTTGTCTGACTTTAATTTCCCTACGCTAGCTGTGCCTCGACAAACACTCACATGACTTTTAAAAATATCCTTCTCCCTTAGGTTGGTATGTGTCTGCTCTTCAGATCTGTGTCTCGTAAGCAACAGAGCTGGAATTTATTTTTTTTAAAGATCTTATTTATTGATTTGAGAGAGAGAGCGGACGCGCGTGAGAGGGCACGAGTGAGAGGAGGGGCAGAGGGAGAAGCCGACTCCCCCGCTGAGCAGGGAGCCCGACGCGGGACCCGATCCCAGGACCCCAGGATGGTGACCTGAGCCCAAGACAGACACTTCACCACCTGAGCGGCGCCCCCAGAGTTGGAATTTAAAGCCTATCTAACCCGACCATCTCTGCCTGTTCCAGCTGAGTTTAGTCTATTTACATTTATTGTGATAACCGCTACATTGTTATTTATTTTTCATTCCTTATATTGTGTGTTTGGCTCACATCGTAGGGTTCTGTGCGCCTCTCCCGGGTCCCCTGAGTTTTCTCCGGTTTTCCCCTCCCGGTCCAGCTATCCCCTGTCTTGGTGGTCTGGTTCCAATGCCCACCCAACCCCCCTTATCCTTTCCGTGAGCAGACAGGGTCATCCTTCCTGGACGTCCGTGGTCCACGTGGTGGCCCCAGGGCACGTTCCGACCCACGCACTGCGAGTGGAGACGTCTGGTCAAGGGGCCTCCAATGCTTCCTCCTGCCGCGTCCTGGGCTCCTATGGACGCAGAAGCGGGGGGCACCAGCTTCCCACCTGAAGGACGGTTTCCCCAAAGGGCCACTTGGACCCACTGCACGTTTTACATCCACAATAAATATTCTTTTTTTTTTTCACAATAAATACACTTTTGTTGTGTTGAGGCACTCACCTCCGCGTCCCCAGCGTTGTCGCTAGCTTGTCTTTGCCTTTCGCCCCTGCACCCGTAAGGAGGCAGGGACATATTTAACATCTTTCCCTCTCCTGGGTGACGCAAGGACCTTCGGGTACATCGGCACGACGTCCGATGATCTGCAGTGTATGTTGTCTCTCACGTTTGTCCTGTCTTGTCATGTTATGATTTTAAACCCCGTACATTACACATCTTATCATCAGTTTTTCCAGTCAGGCGGTGTGAGACTGATCTGCTTGTATCTCTGTCTGCTCAGCCTTCCTTCTCTTATTCCAGACCCCCCAGCGTCCCGCCCCCTGAAATACGTCCTCTACAACCCACCTAATAGGAATTCGCTGGTTATGACATTCTTGGCCGCCAGTTATTTTCCTTCAGTGGGAATGTGCTGAGGGACGCTCAGTCCTTAGCGACATGCAAATGTCTCTAATTTCCCTCCATTACTGAAGGACAGCTTTCCAGCCACAGGATTCTGGACAGACAGTTGTTTTCCCTGGAATCCCGAGGTCCTTAGGGCTCTGTTATTGCTGAGACACCTGCCCTCATTCCTTTCTAAGGCATTTCTTTCCTCTGTGGTTGGTTTTTAAATATTCTCCTTGTCTGTGGCATTCTTCAGTGCTACAAGGTGTAGCCAGGCGCAGTTTCCTTTTTTATTTTTTATTTATTTATTTATTTATTTATTTATTTATTTATTTATTTATTTATTTTAAAGGTTTATTTATGATAGACAGAGAGAGAGAGAGGCAGAGACACAGGAGGAGGGAGAAGCAGGCTCCATGCAGGGAGCCCGACGCGGGACTCGATCCTGGGACTCCAGGATCACGCCCTGGGCCAAAGGCAGGCGCTGAACCGCTGAGCCACCCAGGGATCCCCTTTAAAGTTCACTTATTGAAGCCATCTCTACACCCAACGCAGGGCTGGAACTCACAACCCTGAGATCAAGAATCTCATGCTCGGGGTGCCTGGGTGGCTCAGCGGTGAGGATCTGCCTTCAGCCCAGGGCGTGATCCCAGGTCCGGGGATCGGGTCCCGCATCAGGCTCCCTGCATGGAGCCTGCTTCTCCCTCTGCCTGTGTCTCTGCCTCTCTCTGTGTCTCTCATGAATTAAATAAATAAAATCTTAAAAAAACAAGTCTCCTGCTCTACCGACCGGAGGCTGGAAGGCCTGAATCCAGGCGTGGGCACGGGGTCCCTCTGAGCTCCTGGCACACCCGGCGGCCTCAACGACTCTTCATCCCTTCTTTCTAGAACTCAGAAGGATGCAGGCTCAATGCCTCTGAGTTAGGCCGTGGAAAGGAGCAGAGTACAGAGTCCCAAGGCCCAGAAGGTCCCCTTCATGAGGAGGCCATCGCCCGGCTGGGGCCCCCCTGGCAGGGCCACCCAGGGGCCCCGATCCTCTCACATCTTCAAGGGTGCAGTCCGACTTGCTGCTTTAATCGTGTTCCTGTGGGTGAGGCTGGCGGGAGCCCCCACAAGTGGGGAAGTTTGGAGGTTCATTACCCCCACGTTTCCCCCAGGTGGCACAGCACCCGGCCACGGGCAGAGCGGGCAGCGGGGAGCACTGTCTGGCTCTGCCTCCTGCGGGAAGGGGAGCTGGGCGGGAGCAGCCTGAGGCCGTGTCCCCCGCGGTGGGACTCCCTGAGGGCTCCAGTGGTCTACGTGGAGGCCACCTCCCGGGGGCGGCTAAGGATCTGCGGTGCACATGGGCCCGCCCCAGGAGCTGTCACCCGCCTCCAACCACGTCTACCCGCCCCCTTCACACAACACAGTTTGTTTCGAGTGGTGTCTTACCCAAAGCATGAGTGGACACAAACAGGCTTCTTTGAGTTCATTCATGGGCTGGTGGGGCTTTTGCATTTTGGCCCCGGAGGGGAGAATAGCCCTCAACAGGCTCACACACACCCAGCGACGGGGATCCCCCAGTGTCGGGGAGACCCCCCAGTATCGGGCAGACCCCCCAGCATCAGGCAGACCCCACAGCGTCGAGGAGACACCCCAATGCCGGGTGG